AATCACATAAAACAGACATGTCCCATCATACACAGAGCCTTTTTCTGGGCTTCTACCCAAGCCCTGCAGCTATTACAGATAACTACCTCAGATGTTTCTTTTAAATGTAATTGGCTTGGACCAGGTTAACAGAAAATACAAAGCAGCCATAATCAGAGGAAGGCTGATGTAATAAAACGTGTGTCTGTGAAGAGGAAGAGGAGATGTCAGAGGAAAGAGAGGAGGCTAAGGTACAACACAATCTGCTTGGTCATAATGAGTTGGCAGTGTCTCTGACGTTTCATGAACCCTCCTCGGCCCCCTTGTGTCCCACACATTTACGTAATGCAGAGGAGAATAAGAGTGTGTGGATGTACTTCAGCCAGAATAGCCACGTGTAAATGTGGGAGAACCTGTACTCCTTTATGTGAAAGGAGAGTGACACACTAAACTTTGTTATGGCTTGGAAAATAACATACCTTGTATGTTCAGTGAAAGATATCATCTCTAGATAAATGAAATGGTTTAATATATAAATGGGCGGGGCGTGTGGCGTAGTGGGTTGTCCGTAGGTGTTTTCGGATCAGGGGGTCACAGGGCAAGACACTTCACCCCAAATTGCTCCTGTGGGGATTGTCCACAGTATTGAGTATGTAAGTCGCTTTGGATAAATGCGTCTAACAAGTAACATGTAATAAATAGTGTATCTGTCAGTCAGTATCTTAAACAGAATAAGACTCATGTTATATATTTCCCAACAATTAAAAAGAAGCATACTCTGTAACGTTTGCCAAATAAATACATGTGTGCTCATTGCATTTATCGGCATAAAAATCTAGTGTAATAACCTCACTAAATTGGTTGATTTACAGAGATAGTGCAGACATTTTAGACATTTTTCAGGCGCTCATCTCTTGTAGCAGCTAAAGCTTGCTGCTGACCCGATATGAACAAGACAATCTGAGCAGTTTAACCCAATTACCTGGATATAGGCTACCGAGTTCACAGCCTTAAACCCAAAGTGCGTGTCTGCTGGTTATCTCCACTAATCCTCCTTACAACCCTGAGAATACTCCATCAGACAGCCGTGGCAGGTCAAAGGTCAGCACCAGACAATGGGGTCTCCATGGCTACCGTCGGTGCTGAAGACTTCCACTGAGTGTGCGTGTGTGTTTGTGTGTGTGTGTGTGTGTGTGTGTGTGTGTGTGTGTGTGTGTGTGTGTGTGTGTGTGTGTGTGTGTGTGTGTGTGTGTGTGTGTGTGTGTGTGTGTGTGTGTGTGTGTGTGTGTGTGTGAAAGAGAGGGGGAAGAGGAGCTTGGACCTGACAGGAGCGTCTGCTGGGACAAATCACTCTCACTTTACATTAAGCTGGTTCCATCTGAGAACAATGGGGGTGCTTCGCTGCACGATGGCCTCAACTACAAGCTGTGAAAAAGACCATCATACACACGCCAGACGCACACACAGTTATGTGCATGAACCTTCCCTTTTGACAAAAAAATATAGGAAAGAATCATTCGCGTGCACAAAGACACACACAGCTTTGAATATCTGTTACAGAGCAAACAGTCGCCGCTGGGTGCTGCCGGCTGCCTGTCCTCCCCACCAGAGGCTGTCGGAGGGATCGGATCGGCAAGTGTTTTCATGATACATGTGTTATCTCAGCTGGGCTACTCCTTGCAGCAGAAAAGGAAGGAGTGAAATAAGTGTGGGAGATAAATTAGTTTGCAGCAGGAGCTGGGCACAAAGCTGGCTAGCTGACTGGAAGAATGCGGGCTGCTATTTGTAAAGAGTATAGGGTCCCTGCTATGTTATTATGGTGCGCCTCAATCTTACCCACAGTGTACCTCACCAGGTGCATGGTGTGGATAAATGCAATGGCAGAAAGACACACAGCACTCACAGATGATAGATATACTATGTGTGAGTGCGGCTTTTGGCATTTGTCTAAGGCTATGACAAAGTATGTTATACAATATACTTGATAACTTGTTCTGGACAAAATGGAAAGCAAAGGGGTTTTAAATGCCCAAAAGTAATATTGCACATTTAAATTACAAGTAAATAAAAGGTGTTTCTTTAAAAGATGGCATATGTATATAAATAAATATATATATATACATATATGAAAATGAAAACTGTAAACCTAATGATATTCATATAATTGAAAAAAAGATAACTAAATAACTCAAAAATGTGGTCTTTAATACACATCTATATATATATATATAAATACCTCTTTTAAAAACGTATTGGGATAGTATCTTAACCCTAAATAGAACATTTCTTTTGGAGAAATTACTTGCATAATGTACGTATGATACATGTCAACATCTTGAATCCATTTATGAATTTGTATTAGGTATTTAAGATGTTGTGCCAGTTCCAGTCAAATTATCTGCCAGGACTGAGTTACAGAGGACCAACTGTTTACAAAATGATGATAAGTGATGACGGCTGTGTGTTATAACGTATTTTTGGTGCTATTTTGCAGGGATTTGAGTGTTAAAAACATAATCCTAAAACACTGACATCTGCCTTGTTAGCCAATAAAACAGTGAGTCAGTTATGCCTACAGCTCTAAACATGTCAGGACTATTTCAGTCAAATTCATTCTACAAACACAGGAGTGTTTGCACCCTATGAACTGTAGTGTTTTGTTTCTGGTGTGTACGTGTTAGCATGTGTGTTTCTGTGTTCAGGCCAGGGCCAGGTCAGACTAGGCAGTGAGCCCCTTCCACACAGCCCGATACAGAGCGAGGCCACGAGGGGGCCATCAAGCCTGAGTGAAACCAGACATTTTTAAAAGGAAAGCACCACACTCACTCTTTTTTACAAACACACAAACAATAGGAGCTAGTTTTGCAGTTTTTGTATTGTGTCTCCATATACAAGTGCCTTACACTGATCAATCTGTGTAAAGTATGTTATGGACTTAATGTTTTATAACACAGTTAAACCAAACTTAACCACAACAACACCAACCATGGTAGCTCACTAAAACCAGGAACAGAATCCACATGTCACTACATGAACTCCTCTTTGGCCTCTGCCCCTGTTTTAACAATCTCTGGGCTGAGTAAAATGTGTTGGTAGGGCGTGTGAGCTTGATCAGCAGGACTGGCCAGCAAGTATAATGTCTTACACAGACTATAAATACACATAAAGTAAACCCTTGTGCAACACAGTGTCGTTTCTTGAGTTATATATACTAACAAAACACAAGGAAGGGTTGCTCCCCCTTTCTGTATCTGGAATTAAGCATAGGGATTTGGGGATTTAACCTCCAGCTGATCATGATGATAGCTGTTCTGACAGTGCTAGCTTGCAGCAGCTGGTGCAGTCTATACCCCTGCACAATCCAACAAAAACCTGTTCCCAAACCACAAACACACACAATACTAAAGCGTGTATGCCGATGTGATGTCAGTTCAGAGCCATGTGGAGACAACCACTGGCTCTGTTGCTCTGCAGTTCAGTCCATTTATCTTCATTGTCACTCATGCATGTACCACACAAACATGTGTATACTCTTTAAAAGTCACAGCCACATATACTGTACATTTGTATTTGACTCATGCACACACTGACCCACATTTTCAGGGGATTCCAAATAAATCTCTGCCTGGCCTGATCTTTTCCTCTCTGCCCCCTCTTGTACACTTATAAACAAATAGTGCACAAAAATTGTCATTACTAATACCGCGCAGGTGTTATATAATCATCTTTAATCTGCTACTGCAACTGCTAGGGCCTGCACGCATGCCAGTTGCAGACACAAGACCACATGGACCCTCACTCACAGTTGTTCACACAGAGCCCTCCCCCAGCCACATGGACAGCACTGAACTATGAACATGATTATGTAGCTCTGGTTGCCAGCTGCTGTAAGGAACTCTTATTCCCAACTACCAAAATGATTGTAAATGCTTATGTTATTAGCCTTCAGTTCCCAAACAAGCATGTTATAGATGAAAGATAAAGCACCATAGTCAGAACATATTTTTAGCTCATACCAGGAATGAAATCATTTTGAATACATGAGTCATGCATTAACCATTCTTGGACATTAGATTGTAGAATAAGTAACACACATTCCTGATAAAATATGATATGTTTACATACAGTCCAAGGCTGAACATCGTCATAGAGCTCTGAATACCAAGGGGAGCTGCAGATACAAGTGATCATTTTGTAGGTTCAAGAATATAATAATTATAGCTATTTTAAAATTGACTGGGACAGATTCCTCCCCTAACTAGGGTTCTGACTGTCATTGTTCATTGTCTTGTGTTAAAATATGCATTCACATTGTCATTCAGTGCCACTTTGCAAAACATCTGGCTAAAATCGGCCTTAATTACATACCCATCCACAGACACAATCATGCACATTCACAGAGACACCACGTGCAACTCATAAAACTGCTTATTCTCTCGCTCGCACCATGGATGGCACACACACACACACACACACACACACACACACACACACACACACACACACACACACACACACACACACACACACACACACACACACACGACCAACAGTCACATACTACAAGCACGTGCTGAGCTGCTGCTGGTCATGTGACACCGCCTTCCCCTTTAACACACAGTCACAGACACAAACTTCCCCATTTATCACTCAACACATTCCCCAACATTTAACAGGAAGACACCACGAAGTTGAGTGTTCGGCATGTGTTGTAACTGACCGAGGAAAAAGTGAAACACATTGTGAAAGTGAAACCTTCTGTTTCCACTGTTTGGCTAACTCAACTCCAGATCATAGCTGGGAAACCTTGGAGATCAAAAACAATGCTGTCAGGAAGCATATTTTTATTATCAGTTGCTCTAGATCAGCAGTCCAGTAAATTCCCACTCAAATTATCCTCTAAATGAACCTCCTTGTGAGAACGAACTAAAGAACTGACTGCAATAAAAAACCCTGTAATGTGTTGCTATAAAATTAATTAATTAATTAAGTGCACGTGTGCAGTGTAATATCAGACTCACCTGTGCGGCAGAGGGAGCGAGCTGAGGAATTCTTCTCCTCCTCAGATCCACACACTTCCTCAGCTTACAGATCTGGTGGCCAGTGCTGCGGTTGAGGCAGCAACTGCACTGGCCACAGCTGATCTTCCTCAGGCATGGCTTGCACATCCCACACCTGCTCCGCTTCTTCCTCTCCTTCTTCTGTTGTTTCGGAGCGGTCCAGGAGGGCAAACAGGCCCCCTCTGGCCCCCAGGATATGGGAAGTATAGAGGGGCCAGGCTCTCCATACCCTGCCTCCGATTCAGTGTCAAAAGAAAAAGAGGACCGTGTGCTTTCTGAGCTGCAGGAGAAAGTGTAGCTACTGTCCAGAGAAGTAGTTGAGATCTTTGGCACCGGGTTTTGCTCTGCTACCACAGCGCTGTCCTCGCTGAGGTTTGGTTCACACTCGGCTGCAAGAGCATCTGTGCTGAACTGAGGAGCGAGTGACAGTGACAGGGAAGATGTTTCTCTGTGGCTGTGGCCCTCCAATGGCTCTGGATTGGATTCACTATCTTTGGTCTGCGTCTCTGCTGGTGTGCAAGCTTTTTTCTCTTCCAGAGGAGAAAGGATGGCTAGGCTCTGCAGTTGGTGTGGTTCCCCCTGACTTGAATCCCTCAAAAATCTGTGTTTGAAGCAGTCAGTACGGATAATAACCGGTGTATTTCTTTTTACAAGAACAGTCTGCACCATCAGGGCAGTTTCAGCAACAGCTGAGGACCCTGTGAACTGAGGTTTAGCACCATGAATGGCAGGTAGCATGTCTGTCTTACCCTGGCTCAGACCCTCTGGTTTAACTGCCTCTGAAGTGGAGGGGGCTTTGGTGGGATTTGAGGTAGCTGTGTTGGACACTGACAGCACATTTACAGGTGATTCTGACAGTTCTGTCAGTCCATTGTTAGAGTGAGGTGGATCTGGAGATTGAAAGGCTGGAGTGCTGGGGAGGGGGTCGTCAGGATTGATAGAAAAATCATTCTCCTTTTCTTTTTTTGCTTCCTCACAATTTGCCAGCCTCTCAGCCATGTCCTCCATGTCTTCCATGTCTTCCACAGTCTCAACTGCATTGTCTCCCTCGAAACTCTCTCCTCTCTCATGGTTTATCTTCTCTTTTGTCTCAGTTGCGACTATCTCTCTTTCATCTGTCCTATTTTCTTTTAAGTCCAACTTGCTACCTTCCTCTTGGTGGACAGCACATATATCATCTTGCTTACCATCACAGCCAAGATGATCAAGCTTATTTCCAAGGATAGATAAACTCTTGTTTCTCTTCCTGTTGCTCTGTACTTCTGGTGAGCAGATTCTTGTAAGCGCACAGGGGCTATCTTTACTTCTGTCACTGCAGAGTTTAAGCTGTCCATCAACATCGCCACACACCCCAGTCACACACCTCAGGTCACCGTCACTGTTATGACTGACAGCCTTTTTGTCTTGCTGGGTTGTAGTACTGTCACAGCTGCCCTGCACACAGTCTTCCAGTAGGTCATTAGACGGCGGGGAATCTGCTTTAAGAGGGCTGCCATCTTTAGCATTGTTGCCTCCTAAACTCTGATCTTTGATACTTGCAGGAGCTTCAGCATCAGTTTTTAGAGAAACTGCAAGTTTTTCTTCAGCGTCACTGACGACCAGACTCTCAATTCCCTCTTCAGGAGTTGATTCATTGATGCTGGTGCTCAAGGGCTTGTTTCTTGTGTTTCCTTGCTGTGATGCTGCTCGCCTCCCTGCGCCCCTCCTGCTGTTTCTCCCTCCTCTGCAAGGTTTAGGAGGCTGGTAGGGAGTAACAGGCACCCGGGTGCCCCGCAGAGACTTCCTTCGCCCCAGGGGGTCTTGTAACTCGCTGCTGTGGTCCGGTGGATTGCTCTGCCGTCTAAGCCTTGCAGATTCTTTTACATTTAGGGCATGGTTAACTCTGCCAGGAGACCTCCCAGGGCTCTCAGTAGCAGGCCCGCTAACCCCTCTTCCACGGGGGCTTCGGCCTGACTGTGCCTGGGCCCTGGTTGTTGACCTTTTGGGTTCTGCAGGTGTTTTCTGGGGCCTCTCTGTGGCTCTTCCTCTGGGTTTATTAGAGTTACAGGTTTGCCTCTTGGTGCTGATCACTTTCTGGGCAGCTTTTCTCTGAGCAGGTGTCTTTCTCCTGGAGGGTTTGGTAGTAGCAGGCATGGCTGAGGGTGTGGAGGGGAGGATTTATTGCAGCCAGCATGGGAGCCAGGTGAAGGTTTATCTTTTGCTCAGCACACAATTTGTTCTTAACCTTACACTTTTGTGTTTTGCTTGTAAATTATGATACCGTCATAATCGTGTAGCTGCGGTGCATGACCTATAAAGGAAGAGTAAACAGGAAGAAAATAAAAAAAACAAATAGTTTCAGCAACTTTAAATGTATATTCAGTGTAATAATGCAGTATATGAGTTACAACTTGATGACTGACAACATAGTTATAAAATATCTAAAGCTAAAATCTACTCAAATGTTGTTTACTTTATCTGCTGGAAATGACATGTTTGCCCCGCCTAGAATATGCAGTCTACTCGGACGAGCAAGTGTTGTCTGGTTGACGTCAATAAAGAAAAGCAAAAGCATTTTTAAATACTACCATGGTTTTCTTTTTTATATAAACTCAGAAGAACTGTAGGCTGTAAAATAAATAGTGAAGCTTCAGGAAGGCTAACAGTTTAAAGGGCAGAAGGCACGCAGAGGAGTGGGCTCGAGCCGGAGGTCGGATCCTGTTTTCGCCTTTCTGACTGGCGGAAGAGAGGGTTATTACCGTGTAAAAGCGCCTTCAGCGTCGCTGTTTATTAGTATTACTGCACTTGACCGCTGTCATTTAAAGCGCCATGCAGTTATAAGTTGTGTTGTTGCTGGTGAGGTTTCATAAACACGTTTAGGGCTGAAATGCTTTACATACCAGAGAGCGACAGTTGCACTGTCTGCTAATAATACTCCGCTCCAGCGAGACAGCGAGACCTTGTATTGGTTTCCCTCCTCGGCAAATATAGACTGCTGGCAAGTTCAATCCTCCGTCGACGGTGACACATGGACATGATTAAAGCCCCAACATGAACACACATCCAGCGGAAGAACAGTAGTTTACACCGTGCACCTTGTAGTCTTTGCGGAGCACGAGACCCGTTAAAATGTAAATCCCCCTTCTGTCAGACCACGCAGGGTAGCCCCGCTCACTCTCCCTCCACCAGACGCAACCTACGGTCGGTGTCCGCTGGCCACAAACTCGTCGTCGCTGTGGAGGAAGAGTGGAAAACAAAACCTGGGATGGAGTACAGCTAAGGTTTGTCTTAGGGCTCCTGACCGTGGTTTCAGCCAGTGGACGCATGGTTGTGCTAAAAATCATTATAAGGAAATGAATCACCAAAACAACACAAGTGCAGTTGATAAGGATAATTCATAATTGTATGTGAACTGCTTTAACTTAAGTTATAATCAAAAACAATCTTGGAATTTGAGTGTTGAGCTATCTAAAAAAAAACATTGCCAGTGGCAGTTAACATTTAGTATTGAAGGTATACCACTTAAATATGATACAAATGTATGATCTACTTTTTGCATTATGTTATGGAAATGTCATATTCATAAATCTAAACTGGCCAGAGAGGTTTGCATAAAGAGGTCTGCCAATGAAAATATTATTATTATTATTATGAATCATTCCCGTAATTAAATACAAGAATACAAAATAATAATTATAATTATAATACCGTAATAACTCTTTGTTATTGCTCTTTTTATCTTAATTAACTGAAATCGTTTGACATATTTTGAATACATTCTTATACCTACTTTTTTCAATACATAGGATCAAATAAAATATAGAATATGTGTAAAGAGACTCCTATTTTTTGCTAAATCTCCCCTGTGAAACCTATGAAAACAAAAATCCTGAAATGTACCGCAGCCCCTCGTCCTCGTCTGTTGACGTCATCCTGCGTCATAAACGTGCGACTGTTTTCGGTCAGATGCTGTCAGTTAACGGGCGAAGGGCATTAGTGGTACGTAAATGTTGAAAGTACCCACGGTTCATTAATCACAACAGATCCAGTTTGCGTTCACCTGACACAGTAAACCAGCAGCTCCTCGCGACCACCCGGCCTTCATAGTAACACTTTCAAACAGCCAGGATCACCCCGAGAGGAGAAACATTTGTTGAAGAGATTTCATCGGACAGAGCCTCCACTTCTTCTGTGTTTAGTGCCTCTTACAGTCTCGATCATCTTGTGAGTATCTTGATATCATGGCTAATTACCCTCAAAGCTAGTTAAACCCCATTGAAAACTTGTACACCACCCTTAAGTAAATACAATATCATAGACTCTGGTTTGCTCATATGGGTATTTGCCAGGTTGGTGTTACATTCCCATATTCACATGTGAAATCACAGTGTTTTTCTCTATTGTACAGCTACGGATGTGGCAGATTCCTCAGCAGGAAAGATGACATCAGAGGCTGTGGTCTCCACATCTCCTGCTATAAGCAGCGGGCCCCCTGCCGAGAGGGACTACCACTTTGTTCGCTCCTTTGTAGCTGGAGGTAGGATCTGACATATGAGTATATTATCATTAACAGGTTGATGATGATGATTTACACAATGTAGAACTCAAATATACAGTTTCCAGCCTTGTTGTGTCTGCAAGAGTATATTGGGATAAAGCAGTGTGCTGGTATATATTAGAGTATTTATATAAAGAATGTATTGGTTTCAGCTATTCAAAGTCTGACGAGAATTTCTGACGGGAGAAATCTGACATGATGGATTCTACATTACATTACATGTTGCTTGTTAGACGCTTTTATCCAAAGCAACTTACATACTCAATACTGTGGGCAATCCCCACAGGAGCAATTTGGGGTGAAGTGTCTTGCCCAGGGACACAACGACATGCTGACTGCAGTGGGGTTTGAACCTGTGACCACCTGATCCCCATACCATGCCTCTATTCACTGCACCACACGCCTACCTTCTCATATAACTGTTTGTTGTACATATCCTGCAGTGCTAGTTATTTGCTGCACACATTTAACACCTTAATTAGTAAATGTCTGTGTTTGACCTTGAAAAACTGATACCAGCAGATAAAAGAGAAAATGAGCACAGACACAATAATGATTGATAACAGATTGTCTTCAGGGTCCTGCAGCCGAACAGACTCCTTGCTGCTGCTGGGCACTGCAGGCTCATGTACCCTGATCTACAGGAGGGGCTCCACTCTCTCCTGCTTTCTTTTGTGACGCATAAACTGCACAGCCACGCTACGGACCTTGAACATACTGCACTTAGATAGTTAGATAGGTCGCTTAAAAACCTTCATATTAGCTCTAGAGATACCACCACTCTGCAGATCTCTGACCTACCTGTGGAACTTTGCAAGCACAAATTGAGTTTCCCTTCAAAGACCAACGAAGACAACTAACCAGGGACCAAAATCACAAATGTTCACTGCCTGCCAAATGCTACTTTAGGGAGCTTCTTTTAAAATCTACCAACTATTCGAGATTCAGGTAATTATATATTTTACAAACAGACAAGCTAGTTTTCAAAAATATGTTAAGCTTCTACAGTAAGTTCTGTTTTCTACATTGTGCAGTTATTATAGAAAAGACAGGTATGTTTCTGTGTTGTTGTTTTGTGGCTTTTCCTCTATTTTATTTTGCAACACATGTTGCACTTGAAAATCTAAATGGTTATCTGTTCTGCTCTCTTCTATGTTTCACGACCAACGCTACTCTTATTATTCTGATGAATCTTATTTCAACAGTTCTATCTTTACATGATTGGCCTTTTTCATTGCCATTTCAGGCACTCAAGATTAATTAAAAACATTAAAACTATTCTCCCATTGTAACATTAAAAGTTGCATATTAATGTTCTTTTTACGTTTATCTGCTTTTGTTTAGGTGTTGCAGGATGCTGTGCCAAGAGTACCATAGCTCCTCTGGACAGAATCAAGATTCTCCTTCAAGCCCAGAACCCCCATTACAAACATCTCGGTAAAAACAACAGCAGCCAACATGAAACGCCAATAAGAGTTTATTTTCACAACTCTGTGCCACATGAGTGAAACTTCTGACCTTTCTTTGCAGGAGTGTTTGCAACTCTGAAAGCCGTGCCAAAGAAAGAAGGCTTCCTTGGCTTGTACAAGGGTAATGGGGCAATGATGGTCCGCATATTTCCCTATGGAGCCATCCAGTTCATGGCCTTTGAAAAATATCATAAGGTACCGTGCTTTATTTTGGAATAACACTCTCAAAAGGCAATGTTATAAAATATATTGGAATTCAATAAAACCAATGGTAGCCGTTGACTTGGGAAGTGTAATAGGCTTTAATATTGTTACATTTTGTTTATTTCTTTGCTACGTGTCATTGTATTGTTTTTTTTGGTCAAACTGTTGACCCATGATTCCTGGCATTACAGCTGCTAGTTAAACAGTTCGGGATCTCTGAACACATCCACCGCCTAATAGCAGGATCTATGGCAGGTAATTCATCTTTCTCACTCTCACTGATTATGTCAGTATCAGTTGGATAATATGCACTGTAATGTAGTTTCCCTTTCCTGTTAATGTATTGATCATTGAATCTTAGACTATATGTTTTCATTTGTCACCTCAGTATAATCTTTCTCCTGTTGTAACAGATACTGCATCAACAGTATACAAGAGTCAAGCATAGTTGTGCAATAAAAGGATTTGAAGTGGTCCAGTTCCCAGTGTGCTTGGTGGGGCGTAACACAACAATAAAAGAGAATGAAAGACAAGTATTTCAATTGAAATTAAAATACAGCCAAAATGTGAAAGTGCTTAATCCCAGTTTATTAGTTTGAAGCATAACTACAGTCAAAGACTGTGTTTATAAAAAGTTTGATCTGTTTTGTTGTGTGTTTTCAGGGTTGACTGCAGTGATATTCACCTACCCTCTGGATGTTATCAGAGCCAGACTGGCCTTCCAGGTGACCGGAGAGCATCGATACACTGGAATTGCAAATGCCTTCCAAACCATCTACCTTGAGGTAGGGTACTGCTGTTCAACTTCTCTCACAAACAACTAAGCCTTCATAAACATTATAGCCTTTCATTTAAGTGGCAATGGACACGTTTGTTGCTGTACTTTTATCAGTATGAAACAATGTTGATTGCACAATGTAATAGCAATAGAATACTGACACCATCTTGGTTTAGATTGGTTCCCTCTTATTACAGCCTTGTATGCAAACCATTGCACAACCAAGACAGGGAAATAAGGGTAATTTGCAAGTTGGCGACATCATTGCACATTCAATTGTATAAAGCTTAGTGGTTGTGTCTTTTTGAGAAAGGTGCGGCAAGGGACAGACTGACTGTAAGGTTGGCAGAATACCCAGGGACTGTGAATACTCCGAGAAGCATTGGGAATGAATAAAATATCATTAACATTTATATATATTGATGCTTTTTTCACCTGACTGTAAAAATAATAGGTAGCTAAATATGTCCTTGTGGTAATAAGGAGGTTTTCCAAAAAAAAAATCAATTTAGAAACACTTAAGGAGGAAAGTTAAAAGCTGTATATTGCCACTTTAAAAATGCGGGAATATCAAAAATATATTGTAATTGTAATAATGTATCCTCTGCAATCAGACCTGTTTTTCTTTTTTGCAAAGGAAGGGGGCGTCTCGGGCTTCTACAGGGGACTTATTCCAACACTTATTGGAATGGCTCCTTATGCAGGTGATTAATAAAATGATTTTTGTATTGATTGATATGAGTCTTTAAAGATGATCCTATATTATCGTGCAGAACAACATAAAATGTCCCCCTTCATAAATCTAACCAGTGTTCTTTGTGAGGTCTTAACACTTTTCTCCCCTTTCCTTTTATCGTCCAGGTGTCTCGTTTTTCACCTTCGGCACCCTGAAGAGCCTCGGCTTGAAACATTTCCCAGAGAAGCTGGGACAGCCCTCCTCAGACAACCCTGATGTCCAGGTTCTGAAAGTGCACGTTAACCTGCTGTGTGGAGGGGTTGCCGGTGCCATCGCTCAGACAATCTCGTAAGTGCTGTCGGCTGGCAGCCAAAAAGCCCTAATGCTGACAATGTGGTGTGAAGTTTTCTTTTCAAGTATTTTATTGATGTTTGATGTGTCACATTGTGTCTCCTCTTAAAGGTACCCTTTGGATGTGGCTAGGAGAAGAATGCAGCTAGGAACCGTGCTTCCTGACTCTGAGAAATGCTCGTAAGTATCACCGATGATCCTACTCCCCCATATTCTGTTGGCAGGTTGTTCTGCACCTTCGTATATGAGGTTCTTAAAAAAGTCAGTGTTTGAATTGAGGTGTTTTGGACAGTAGATGAGAAGTTCCCACATTTGGTTTGATAATGAAGTG